CGGCTCTCCCGTTACGTCCGTTAGGATGAAAGACGCTGTCCTGTTAACCTTCCTGTAAAGAGCCTCTGTCACCGGGCTTGACAGACAGAGGAGCGGCCTAATGGGGCTTGGGCAAGAGAGAAAGCATCATCACCATTAAGTGCTTCAAGATTCCCCCCAGTACTTGCTTGGCATCTAAAGAATCCAACTATTAAATTACCTTGGAGGGTCTGAAATGCATCTTAAAAGCTTTTTATTCTTATTACGGCACAGCAAGCCCTTTACTGAGGCCTCAGTGAAACGCTTTATTCAACAAGAGACTGCGAGCAGGTGATTAAATTTAGGCACGGGACTTCAGCAGATGCTTCCGCACCCTTTGAGGAGGATAGTCAAGCTCCACCGTGATGGGGGAGACGCAAGTAATGTCAGCCGTGCAAAATCCGAATACTAGAAATTCTTAAGTTAGGATTTTATTACGTGCTTTGTGTTTACCATTTAAAATGAGAGACAATAAAGGACAGACCGCATCACACTTGGTATAGTTAAAATGATGCTAGTAAGGTATTTTCACTATTTAAAAAATAATTTATACTCTGTGCTATGTATGACAATTCCCTGAAAGCTTCAAAAGAAAATCTGTGCTCTTGTAAAAGAATAAGGCTCATTAAAGCACGTGCATGAGCAAACCCTCCCGTATATAGAATTAGATGGACTTTGCAAACAGGTTTAAGTAAATAAAGGTAGGTCCAATTCAATTAGTGCAAATCTTGACAGTATCCCTTTATCACTTAAAAAAAGAAAAAACCTCTCTCCTACCCTTTTTGTTTTACTGCCACAACATCTTTCTTTCAAGATCAAAAGCATTAGATCAAAGCCAAGATCAAACTCAATGCTTTAAATAGAAGCAACTTCACTATGAAGCATTGCACAAAGAACAACTTTTTAATAGAGATATCACAGTAGAAAATCTTACTATAGATTTTTATTTCACACTCGCAACAGGTCTACTTAAAACCTGTATCAACAACTTATTTTTATTTTGTAAAGCCACGACAGATTTTCTACTAAATGGTAATTCTCTGAAAGCTCCTATAAATTGACTCTTGAACTGTGTGTGTTTGAATGAAGAAAGACTAAGAGAGCATAGTTCAAAGAGATTGAACAAGAATATGAACAAAAAATTATGTTAATGGCAAACACAAATTAACACAACCACCTAAACAATATTCCCTTGGATCAGTTAACAGATTAGATTGTGCATTCCCACAGAAGAAGTTATGGGAAAGACTGGGTCATAGAAACAATGAAACGGATTTATACTTCAAATCCTTTCAAGAATTACACTTCCTCTCCTGTCAAACGTTTGGAGAAAACTAGGGAAAAAAAGTTACACGAGACATTGATTTTCAGACCTGCAGACCCTGAGGCTGATTTGGGATGGAAATCCCTGAACGCGCAAAGACGCTGAGTGTTCAAACGCAAGAGGTAGCTCCTGTTCTCCTGTTAGTAGCTGCACAGCCGTGAAGGAAACTCAACAGGAATTGTTATCGACTTTTTATAATGGTAATATACCTTGTGGAGCCAACACCTGGGGTTCCCTGGTGCTGGCTGCTGTGCACATCATCCCTTCAACACTCGTCCGCTGTAAGAGGATTGCGCTGCGGCATAAGGTAAGAGCCAGCATAGCCATACAGACAGCCTGCAGGGGAAGGAAAGCAAGGGGCAGAAGCAGGGTGGGTCTAACAAGCTGTGGTCACAGCACACCGGCTGTGCAGTCAACTGTTAACTCTACTTATTGATGCTTCACTAAGATTTAGCTCATGGTCCGACTAGGAAATTTTGCAGGGAAAATTGGGAGCGGGAGAGAGAGCAGGCAAGAGGGAGAGGGGGAAGAGGAAAAGATGAGGGGAGGAGGGAAAGGGAAGGAGGGGAGAAAAGATGTTTTTAAGAACATTTGGTCTCCTACTGTATTCTTACATACTTCAAAAGGAAGGAGCTTGCTTACATACATAAAAGGTTGATGGCACACCCAACTTAAAGGGAGAATGACTGCGTCGCCCTCCGCCAACAGTCCCATTTGCTGTCCGCGTGACAGTGGCTGTCAGGCTTGAATCCCCTCACAACAGAAATGAAGAGATTAGTCCATCCTCCGTATCCTTCTTTACTTGGGAAGACTTTCTTTCAGAGACTGCTAAAGGAGCTGTCCTATGTAACACTTAGATTGCAAACAAGCATTTATACATGTCAAAGCATGTTTCATTTTTGCAGCAGCAAGATTAAATATAACTGAATTTTGAAACGGGGGAGGAGGTAGCACTTTCTACCAATTGGGTGAAGACAGGCCCAATATCCTGATAAATAACTTAGGCAAAGATTTACACTAGCTATTCCTCAAGTCAGACTAGATCCCAAGCATACAATGAACATTCAGGATTGTACACAGCCTAGAAAACAACAGGATATTTGTGCAACAGACAACTGTTTCATTTTAAATTGAAACAGAAACTAGTTTTAAGTTGTTCAGGCTGTGATGGCTATTAATGATATTTCATAACTAATGAAAAATTGTAATCATGCACTTTTCCTTTGCACAAGTTGTCTCTAACTTCAGCTGGTCTGTGCTACTCTAATGCTAAAACATTCAATACTGATAAACTAAGAAGGTTGTTTTATCTAAGGTGAACACCGCATCAGTGCCGTCTTGCTGGCTTGCCAGCAGTCCTCAGATACTAGAAGGCAAAAAGGAAAAATTTAAAATGGAGGAATAAAAATATCACCTGTGAATGAATTTCAGAAGAGCTTCTGCAAAGCAAAGGAGATTGATAACTAATGCAGTCATTTTCCAGCCTCTAATTTCTAGAGATTTTATTTTCCTCTCAATTACTGAATTTTACACCACGTATACCAGCAAGTGCACAGAAAAGTCTAAAGATTTTACCATCATGTCATGTTTTCTCCTAGAGGATGTAGCTAACTTCACCAGTCTACAAACTGCAATTTTGTACCTTTCCATGCCTTCCCATGTCACATAAACAAAAAAATGGACTCCCCACCTAGTTTCGTTCTATGGTACTAGAATGATGCTGCCTACTTTTTAAGGCTGATGCCATCACCTCTGTGATTTCAATACAGGATAATTTAAAGGAACTACGAGAAAATGCAAGATACATAACTCTTCCTGCCACACAGATGATTTATAGGAAAAAGAAGAACACTAGTTTAAGTGGGAAAATTAATCTACTTGGAAACTGAGAACACAATGTGCCCTCAGAACAGTCTGTGTGACCTGAAATCTGCTTCAGCAGAAGAGACCTGGCCTCCAATCTTTTGGAAAAAGGTTCAGAAAAGGAAAATACAGAAAAGTATTTTATCCAGTAGCTCACAAGATGATTAATAATGGCTTGAAACATTTGATGGTATTCCCCAAGGGCAATAATTGCAAGGATTTCTAAAACACTACTTTTATCAGAATTTGACAGAGAGACTAAGGAGGCAGTGGGTTACAACTGAAAATAGCAAGATGGCTAGTGTATCTGCATTGCAAGAAGCAGTATATCAGTGGCAGATCAAAATCACTGAAAAAGAAATCCAGCCCAGAATGTGCTCCTCTAAGAACAGCAAGTCCTCCAACTGATTTTGTGCAGTTTTGATGGGGACAGCTTTATTCACTGAAACGGAAAATCAAGTTGTTCTGACATTATCTGTATTTTAGGAGAGATGGTAATTTATATTGATACCATAAATCCAAGTGT